TAATGTTTCAAGGACAAACTCAAATGCAATTTAAATACTGCCAACCTCCCTCTAGGGGAGTTCGGACTCGCTGTCGAAAACCGAGCAAACTGCAGAAACACCTGCCACCGAAGTATAACTAACGTTGAAAAGAATCGTCTTAACCATCTGAGAGAATTCAGAACCAACAATAAATCTCAGGCTAATACATCAATCCATATGACGGTCAATCCTTCTGCATGTCCTGCATGTAGATTTGTTTGCAAAGGATTGTTGTCTCATACGAGACAAACATAAAAACTGAACTGAAAGACACTAATACGCCGAAAACGACAGGAGAATCTATCATATATATATATATATATATATATATATATATTATATTGATAGATAATTATATATATATATATATATATATATATATATATATATATATATATTTATATATATATATATATATATATATATATATATATATATATATATATATATATATATATATATATATATATATATATATATATATATATATGTATGTATATTTAATACATAATTATATATATATATATATATATATTATTTATACACACACTTTTCACACACACACACACACACACACACACACACACACACACACACACACACACATACATATATATATATATATATATATATATATATATATATATGGGGTTGTGGGTGTCAGAAATTTCTGAAATGTTGACGGTTCGATACATTTAAAATATCAAATAATGTTTGGGAATGTATTCTTCGTCGGGCCGAAAACTTTTCAGCACCTTTTTCTCGTAACACGTATAGACAATGCATACAAGCCTATATATTTCCATAGAATCTTGAAAAAGAATGAATTGGGAAATCTGTTTCTGCGCTAAAATTGGATGAAAATCTTTTTCTCTCTCTCTCTCTCTCTCTCTCTTAATTCCATTTTCTTGGATCCTGTTTTCTCGACACTGACTTTCTTCGAAGAATTTCGTCTCCATTTTCGTTATATTCCATTTGAATTTGTTCAATTTTTATTAAGTCCTCAGAGTTTTTATTATGTTCACAGAAAAATAAAAAAATTTATTCTCGACAATTTTCGCACGGTTCTTGGAAGCTTGCTAAAAATTAATCGAAGTCTTTGTGATTTTTTTTAAAAGTTGAAATTGGCAAAAAAATGCTATTCACAAAATATGTTTCTCACACTTGGATATTTGAAATACTTTCCTTTTTATTCTCTTTGTTATTTCCCGTTTTAAATTTAAAGCCAAATTTTTTTTTAATTTTTTTTTTTTTTTGTATACATTTATTTCGTCCTTTTATTTCCTGTTTTTGATGTATTTGTTTTAATTTTCATCAAATTGTAGGTTATACTTTCCACACTACTTTAAATCCTTTCATCCCTACATGACATCTTCTATGTCTGTCTCCTTTCTTCTCTTTCGTATTTTCTTTTCTTCATTATTTGGTTGTGCGGCTGGTGTAATGGATAAATGCTCGTGATGAGAAATTGGAGAACCCTGACAGATTTTCAGTCGGATACGTTGCTTTCATTTTACGCGTTAATAACATTGGAAAAAGTATGTTTCCATTTCTTCTCCCCCAAGGTTTGGGTTAAATAGTAGGACATGAGTCTAAAAAAAAATTGGTCTAAAATAAAATTCTTAATGCATTATTTATTCGACGAAAGAAATATTCTTACAAGCCAAATATATATTTTTAAATTTTGAATAACCGACAAAGGTTTAAAAAAACTGTAAAAAAAATATCGATCATCTTCGTCTACTTTTCTTCCTATCCGTCTTAGCTTAAGCCCTACCCCTAGTCAAACCTCTTGGCTTTTCCAACTTCTTTTCTTTCTTTCTTTCTTTCTTTCTTTCTTTCTTTCTATTTCCTTTATTCTGATTTTCTGCATTTTTCTACGATCTCTTTTTCTACTTTGTTTACGTTTTTCTTCTTTTCTTCATTTTTCTTCAAGTTTTTCTTCGTCTTCTTTTTTCTTTTCTTCATTTTTCTTCTAATACTTCTTTTTCTACTTCTTCCTCTTTGTCATTTTTTATTCTTTTCTTTACTTTTCTTCTTCTTTCTCTTTGTCTTCTTTTTTCTTCTTTGCTTTCTTTTTCTTTTTGTTTCGTTCTTTCTTCATTTTTTTCTTTTATTTCCTCTTTCTTTTCTAATTCCCCAACTTTTGCTTTTTAATATTTCTGCTTCTTTCTTTTTATCACTTTTTTTCATTCATCTTATAATTCTGTTACATTATGATTTCAAAAATCTATTCTACAACTTTTTTTCTTCTTTTTCTTATACTTTTCTTAAACGTAAAGGACACACTTTTTCCTATTCTTATTCCCAGAAAAATTTATTTACTTCATTTTTTCTAATTTTTATCTCCCCTTCTGATATCTCACTATTTTTTTTCGATTTCCTTTCCTTCTCCCTTCATTCTTCTACTTTTTTATCAAGCAAATCTAACTTACATTTAGCAGAACTCTCTCTCTCTCTCTCTCTCTTTTTTCTCTAAACCCTCTCTCTATACTCTCTTGTTTTCGTCTTCAATCTCTTTCCGCCAATCTACTCCTGCATTCTCCTTCAAATTTACTGATATATTTGTTACATTTATGATCTTCTATTTCACAATAATATAGAAAAAATTTTTATGTCGATTCAAAAGCTTAATTTCAGTTAAAATAATTTCATTGTCTGGCCAGTTGGTTCTTTCCAAAGTTTGAATTACACTTTGAAAAGCGAAAAGAGAACGTCAATTTTTACAAGTAAAAATGCACTAATCACGTCCGTCTTCTAGCTAGCTATATATATATATATATATATATATATATATATATATATATGTGTGTGTGTGTGTGTGTGTGTGTGTGTGTGTGTGTGTAAAAAGATTAAATGTAGGTCAAATATGTATCGAAAATATGGTAAGATAAAGGACAAATAGGAAACTTTTATCAACTTAGCATGTTTCACTTTCATTAAAGCTTCGTCTAACGAAACTTTCATAAGAGTCAAAGTCGTTAGATGGATAAACGTTTGCTAATTCTTCTTTATCTTATCGCATATATATTTTCACAAACATACGTCTGAGAGATAGTGAGATTACAAATAATTTAATAGTATATTTTTTTATTATAATTTTCTTCTTGTCGATACATATATATATATTTTATGTCAACATAATATATATATATATATATATATATATTTATTATAATTTTCTTCTTGTCGATGCAAACATATATATATATATATTTATGTCAACACTTAGAGGCGACAGTCTGTATCATGATAAAGGCAATCGTGGCCTGACGTTCACTTTTATATTTACACACGCTCTATCTCTGATATTGTTCACTTTATCCCATAAATATAGCACATTTAAGAGTATATTTCTTCATATATATATATATATATATATATATATATATATATATATATATATATATATATATATATAGTGTATGTGTGTACAAGGTTCATGGCGTCTCCCACAAATGGGAAGACGCAATGTTCTGCGAGAGCTTACATTGTAGATGTGTTCGCTGAAATGAAGAAATGAAAAAGAGAATGAGGCAAGAAATCGATAAGTATTTATAGTGTAGAGAGAGCGTTCCCCAGTGAACAATTTGGACAATTAAGGTGGAGTTAACTCCAACAGATACATGACTGAAATGAACATGGATACTTGACGGAAATGAAGATGGGCAAATGGCTGAAATGAACATGGATACATGGCAGAAATGAACATGGCTACATGATTGAAATAAACCCTGTTACAATACTGAAAAAAATTAACCTTAACTTTAAAAATAATTCTACACTCTTTCCTATATTTAAATAATTTTTATTAGTAATTGTGTATTTTATTGGGTAATCTCTTAAAAAAACGATCCTGTTTTTCATTATAAGAATTCTTTGAGGAACTTTTTAATATATTGAGATTGTTTGAACTGTTAAGCGGTCTAATTCAGAGAATCTTTTTGTGTGCAGAAGGGCGTAGCCGATAATGCAGAATATTTCGTTTTTATTGCTGCAATTGAGTTTTTAACTAGAATTTAACTATTTTTAAAATCCTTCTTTGTTCTTGTTTTGCTATTCCTTTACAGACATTCGTTAAAAATGTTGCCCTCTGTTTTCCTTGCTTCTCATATCTGTAATATAGCCGGTGAGCGTAATCCTTTGCAAACTCTCATTCAATTTCCAGAAGTTCCGACTCTCTCATTGGAAAACTAACTTAACTTATTGTTAGCATTTTCTGCAAAACATTCGGTTCTTTATGTTCTCTCAAAACAGTTCAATGTATTTAGCAAGTTAATATTTGCTTTATGTCTTGTCAATCATTTCAAGGTGCTAACGCAAAAAACTTTCATCAAGTGAAGGGTTTTCTTCTGAAAAGGTTTTTTACTGTTTACCCAAAGCACAGCATAGAGTCGATTCGGAGAAGACGACTAAAAAAAGAAGATCAGCTGTTCTCAGTAACACACACACAAAAAAAGAATTTGCCATTGAGGCACTTGAAAAACAAAAATGTCTACAAAATAATTTAAAAAAAAAAAAAAGTTTTTTTTTTTTAAATAAAAATCCCAAAGTGTAATACACAAAAGAAAAAGTTAAACTTAGTAACAGTGAAATATCGGTAGATGGTGAGACTTTTTATCTGGTGTTGGTTGCTTGGTTTGTTTTATGGCATATCAAAACCTCAGCGGGTCATTTAATGCCAACATTTTTTTTTTAAATTCATATCGATAGTTTGGTAAAAAAAAATTGTGTATGTATACATATATAATTGAACCATTTTTCAATTACTAATTTTTGAGTACAACTTCTTAAGAATATTTAGCTGTTTGTATTAATGGTATTTTAAAAATAAATCTTTAGGAAATCAATTGACCGAAATCGCCGGAGATATAGAAAGGTTGAAACCAAGATGGCGGAATAGGCTAATTTCTTATGTTTGGTTGGTTTGTTTTATGGCATATCAAAACTTCAGTTGATCATTTAATGCCAACAATTTTTTTAAAAAAGATTCATAGTGATAGTCTGGTAAAAAAAAAAAATACGTGTGTATGTATACATATATATTTGAACCATTTTTCAATTACTCAATTTTTAGTACAATCCAACTTCTTTTAGGAAATTTACAATCTTGGATGGTTTTATTTTCGTAAAAACTTTTTTTTTAATTACTCGGTAATATTTTGTTCGCACTGGATCAAAATCTACAAACTCTAACAGTATATGTCTCACTGTAAATTTTAATTATTGCTGATAATAATTTTTCCTTCAAAAATGATTGCTGGTTATAATTTGTTTTATTACAAATTATTTCTGGTATGAAAACCTATTTTAACACAATTTTTGCCCATAGCTGGGACCCTAACAGGTGCTACCACCCTGGATCAGGGTGGACCTAGGAACACCAGCAATTAAGAGGTGGTTCCATGCTCCTCAAAGCCTCCTGATCAGAGGCCTTGCTGTTGAACGTAGTTTATTGTCTTACCCAGGACGTGGACGTAGTTTATTGTCATACCAAGGTCGCGGAGGTAGTTTATTGTCATACCCAGGACGGATCTGGTATTTATAGAAAACTATTCCCATTCAAGGACTATTGAGAACTGGTAAAAGAGCACATCTTGTCTAATATAAACATATATTGTTTTCATTTCAGAAGACTCTAGGGTTTCATCTCAGGTGACCAAATAACTTAGCTCAACCGAACCTTTATAAGGTTGCAATCTGATATTTGAGATTTTATTTTTTTTATTAAACTGTATATTTATTTATTTTCACATCCAGACATGAATATTCGAGCAATATTGCTAGAAAAATATGCGCCCTCCAGTATGATACTAAAAAATTGTCTTTGATTACGTTAGGACATGACACAGTGTAGATATGTATATTTCGAGATACTGTGGCTTTGATCAGGAGGTCCTACGTGGCCGAGTGGACTAAGCTATGTCAAATCTATTAACCGTTTACTCTAGGGGACGCAGATTCAAATTCTTCCGGAGGGCAGATATTTTCGAGAATATTCGGGCCTATATATATATATATATATATATATATATATATACATATATGCGTATGGGTATGAAAAAAAATACATATACGCACATATATTTGAACATATATATATATATATATATATATATATATATATATATATATATATATATTTCTTCCTCAAGTGTTATAAATGTTATGATATAAGTCTGTATTTTTACATATCGTAAGATTGAAAGATTGCATAAACCTCCGAGTCGTGCTATCGACGTTGGATATTATGTGTTTAATATATATATATATATATATATATATATATATATATGTGTGTGTGTGTGTGTGTGTGTGTGTGTGTGTGTGTGTGTGTGTGTGTGTGTGTGTAGGATTAATATGAAATATCGAAACAAATGGTATAGGATAGAATTCATGGAAACCAGTTCTCAGTAACGCTTTGCTGTCTGCGAGCATTTTCGAAACCATGATAATCTCTCTCTGTATATAAAAGTCCACATTGAAGTCAACAACCAGAGGCTGTTGCATGTTAAACGCAATCGTCAAGCCATGAAACGGACTGTCGCTTCTTTGTGTTGATCCGATGTCCACTTTTATATTTTCATACACTCTATCCCTCATATCGAGTACTTTAACCAATAAAGATAGCATACCTTAAAGATATATATATATATATATATATATATATATATATATATATATATATAGTTTATGCAAATTTAGGTAATCCGTATGGGTAGACCTAAGGAGGATGATATCCAGAGAGCTCAATGTAAAATTCAGAGCAGATATGTTTGAATAAAAGACAGACCACGTTAAGATTCCAATGTAATAAGCTATTTCACCATAACCCCTTTAACAGGGTTCTGAACAACACTACTTGGATTAAAAAAGATAGAGACAATTTTGATGTCCCAATGGGATCTTTTGATTCAGCTCAAATAGCAGACCTAATAGGTATATACATTTTAGATATCCTAAGTAGATTCCTTGACCCTCAATATATAGGACTATACAGAGATGACGGGTTAGTTGCTGTACCTAATACTAATGGTCCGTTAACATCCCAACTACAAAAGAAAATAATTAGGGCATTCAAATTTCTAGGATTTAGAATCGAGATTTCTTCCAACTTAAAAATAGTAAACTTCCTAGACGTTACATTTAATCTGAACAATAATACTTATAAACCCTTCCAAAAGGAAAACCAATCACCCATATATATAAATATCCACTCCAATCACCCGAAATCAATAATTAAACAAATCCCAAATACAGTAAATACTAGAATAAATAAACTTTCCTCCAGTAAAACCATTTTTAACCAGAATAAATGGGAATACAATAAAGCCCTGTTAAAAAGCAATTTTAAGCAAACACTAAATTACATAGATAAGTCGGTAAATAAAAATCCACTAAACCCAAAAAATAGGAAAAGGAAAATTATATGGTTCAACCCACCTTTTGTCACCTCTCAATATTAATATAGGTAAATAC